TAAAGAAGGCAACTTATATGTAGCATGTACACTTCATAGGAGCCTTTTTTATAAGAGGCCCGTGACAGGGTTTGCAGACCTGATCTATACTATGCAGATTTTGCATCTGCACTTAATCCTGAGGTCGTAGCTGATTGGTCAAACTAATGCATGATGGGTATTCTATGTATTGTTTATGTTGTAACTTGGGAAAGGAATGTGAGGCCTTCCATTACTGTGAACCCAATGTCATTTTCACACTTCTGAATAAATAATTCTCCGTTACATTTCGAACAATTATGACACACAAATCCACATTAACTGTTGTTAGTCTTTATTTGTAAAAGGCAATGTATAAAACTCATCTTTATTGTGATTACAAGAAACCTCGTTAAACCGTAGACACCGTTCTGGAAACAACTTCCCGCATTAACGAATCCGGGAAGGGTTGTCTTTGGATCAAAGAGGTCCGAACTATTGAGGCTTTACCTTGAACTTGCATGGGTTACGTCAATCAAATTAATGCCAAATCACACGACTTATTGATTATTGTCTTATGCATATATTTGTGACGACATGTCAGATTGCTTACAATATGAAAAGATCATTTAAATCACTACGTTAACTTATGAATTATTTGATTCAGGTGTATCCAAAACTGTGACAATAAGGTCATCACACAAATGAAATCTTACTATTTTCCAAATTCTTGAAGTTGATTGTATTTGTTTGAAGTCTTTTTACCATACTTGATATTTTTACTTGCACCGAATGGATCTTCTTCTTCTCTTTAATTCCCTACATCTGTTCACGCTAAGGTGTCAACTTGATATTGGTCAGGTAAATAAAAGCCACATTTTAACAGGTTCCTCAAAAGGATAAAATACAAGCACTTTAGAATTTTATTTGAATAAAACAGGATATATTTTGTTAGTACTGGAATCTTAGCTGTTGTGCTAATGTCTTTAGGGATGGTTTGGTACAGCGTAAGTACAGGTACATCTAGAACTTCATTCAAGTACGTATCTTTCAATATAGATAGAAGCTTGATATGTGCACTTGCACTCTGTGACATGTGGTCGCTCTTAACTTATATGCTGGGAATTAACTTAAGCCAATATTATTGTTCTGACATTTGCTGATTCTCAGGTGTGAAGAAACACGCTTAAAATACATCCCGCTGTTTGACAAATAAGCTAAGGAAAAACGTTTCAAGCGTTACTTTGGCAAAGCAATCAAGCTTCGCTGTATTTCATTTTTGCTGAGAGATAATTAAACAAAACTAAATCAACTTTTGAATAGATGAAATTATATGTGCGCATGGAGAATTCTTCACTATATTTACCCATCTTGGCTTGGTATTTGAACTTGTTTAGAGGACTTTTTACAGACCTAACCTTAACAGCGCCAATGTATTTGTTGAAGGAAGTAGGCTAATTTTTCGTTTTCAAAATGAAAGAAAATTCGGCGTATCTCACAGTATTTAAAAAAAATAAAGAATCCAGACAGTTAACATTTGATTTGGGCATTGTGTGTATCATTTCTGAAGCAATTGCAAGTATTTATGTCTTGGCTGAATATTTTGGCTTGGTTTAGCAATCATTCGTCATCAAATTTGATGAGGCGTTGCCTAATGAAAGGCAGTATGCGATGCATGTTAGACGCACAGAGAACAGGCTCTCGGTGCGAAGGTAGATACACATTTTATGAGACAGTCTTGAAAACTCAGAGATCTTCCAAGGTGAAGACACAAAACAAAGATCTGAGGTGCTTTAGCCAAAGCTAATGTCACTTAACGCTGGGATCAGATGCAGCCAGGGCCAGGTGGTACCAATGAGCAAGGATTAAGGTGTTTTAAACGTGTTCTCTTCTAACGATTCCTGACGGTTGCAATCCATGCTGTTAGTTCCTCGTAATGACAACAGTAATATCATTAATCTACACTGGCACACTGGCCCGATGTTACATTAGCACAGCCAAGCCATATCTGAGAGTCGCGCTTCAAAGAAGGACACACTGGTACCAGAGGTCATCCTCCTATTCTATTTTAACAGGGTGTTGTTGTAGTCTAGCGGCTCAAGCGTTCGCTGAGGCCCTTTTCTTGAGTCCCAAATTCGGGGATATTGTTGGAATAGTGCTACCTGGGACGTAAAATCACACTCACTCCATTTGACTTATATGCCGATGTATGGGGAAGCCATAGTGTTGCATCGCGTTCCGTTGCTGTGACATTTCACACTTAATAAATTGTTATTCTGCACAAAGATGAATACATTTTTCTCTTTAAATTATGTCAGCAATTTATTTACGGCGTGACTGGGTGAGTAAATTGGGTTTAACGTCGATTCCCAGCACTATTGCATCGGTGGACACTAAAAATGGGCTTCTCACATTGCACACATGTGGGGAGTCGAACCCGCGCCTCCTGCGTGACGAGTGAACCACTTGCCTACCCCACCGCCCTCAAATCAAAACGATTTGTTTCTGTGATTATGCTTTGGTTTCGTCTTTAGTCTTACACGACACGCTGTAATATTGCTGGCATAGTGCTAAAAGCGACGTAAACCCCAACTCACTCGTTGGGATTTCGGAGAGAGAAATGTCCCCAGTATCCCATCCTTGATGTTAGAGCCGACTATAGCGGCTTGGGTGGCTTGGGAGGCAAGACAAGGCAAGATATCATCGCTGATAACGTGTCAACATTCCCCGAGATCCTTGTTCATTCTCCTTGTAACTGGTTTTCTTGACCAGACTTGGTTATTTACGGACAGACATACATATGAAATATTGCCGTGGCGTTAAACAACATTTACTCGCTCACCTAATCATTCATAAACATCTAGAAACATCGACTGAGTGAGTCGTTTTTAACGCCACTTTGAACAGTATTCCAGTTATATATTACAGTGGAAGGAAAGCCTTAAGTGATGTAGGTCTCAGACGTTTACGACTTTGGTAAAACCAACGAATACGGGTATGGTGCTGACAAACCTAAAAACATAATCAGGGCCAACCAGGATTCGAACCCTTGCACAATCAAAGGTTTCTGGAATTTGTGGCGCCTTAAACGACTGGGACAGGGGAAAGGACGCTGTGGACCCAGTATAATGGGTTATTTTCTTTATAATTGAATTCCTGCAACAAAGCCTCCTTAGACCACAAATCACTAATCTCTGACAACAGAAACATGTTTTAATTGCATGTGCAAAATCTGAATATTCCCCCTTTAAACATGACCCCTATGTTTTGACTAAAAAACACGTTGAGATTGTCAATCAGCAGGTATAATGGTACCGGCGAAGGTAATTGGTCGTCAGGTCATTGAGTGGGAAAACGTTTCAAACTAAAAAGTATGTATGTGTTGCTGACAGTCGGTGAGAAATGGTTGTTTGTGTATTTACAGATGCGATGTGCTTATGTAATCTGAATGATGGCTCAGTGGTTACATCGTTTCCCCCACTTGTGTACATTACGTGGAAACTCAAGTTTTAATTGAACACACTCCGTCCGCTTTGATCTTCCAATCGATGGCATATATGAAATAAGGAAAAGTGACAAACCACGAAGCAGTCGTAAACCTACTTGTTTTGTGATGCCATGCAGGCATTGTGCACACAAAAATTGACGGACCCGATTCGAAAAAGACGATTTGTAATTTCATCTATGATTGCAAGTTATTGTATTGTTTCTTATTACAATTGGTAGGGATTGACAGATGTGTCGGCTGTTTCAAAAACGCGCCGAAATGCATTCATAGTTTCATTATCGGCCCCCTCCCCTCTGTCTGTCATCAACGGGCGCATGGGAGGTAACTCGTGTCTCGCGTTGTGTGGATTTTACGACACTTCAATGGATTTAACTGACCGTCCAAGCCGTGTCTTATTAATGTGACAGATACAACATTGTACATATTTATTTTATTCCCCTTCAGTATCTGCTTTTAAGTGTTCAGTTTTAATGTTTAATCATTAGTTAAGATAGATTAAATGTAGTCAATGTGTCCTTCATGTTGTAAGCCTTAACAAACCCAAGCTATGACGTGCTCAACTGATTGGCCAAGCTAACCCTCAAAGTTGACCCTTTGTCTCACTGCATGTTCTCACACATTTCCTGCACAGACAAGTTGACAAGTGAAATCATGTAAAATCAGGTTAGTTTAATATGTATGTGTATACATGTACTTGTATTGTTGTTATTGCAGTTAAATGTTGCAGTATATTAAACCTATAATACTAAACTTAACTGAACGTGTTTAATATTATCATATTCTCAGTTACAATCTATTTAAGTATATGAGGTAAACAAGACATAAATTGTAAGCTTTGGTAATTACTAATATATCACTTTTCTGTCTCTTTATTCTTGTATGTATGAGGAAGAGTGTATGTGTCGTTTTATGGAATAGGCTATGTTTTAAATACTTTTATGATCAGTTCTGTATAATATACAATCTGTACTATACTGGATCCGGAGAAATATTTTAACGTGTATGTAAATAGTTGTATTAGTCATTGTTATAAAAGTATATGTTTTATTCAGACATCCGGAATTATAAGTGCGGCGCTAGTCGGGAAGACATCCCGGTCTCACCCACAGGGTAGGCACGCAATAACTTGTATAGTCAGTTTCTATATTTGTGTAACGCATAAGTGAGTCACACCCGTAAAGTCATGTACATATGTATGTATTTTGAAAGAGATTTATAATCGCTTTACACTTAGATAATATAATATATGAATAATTATTCTATTTGGTTCTAATATGAGTTAGCAGATTATTGTACAGTATAACAACTAATATATGAATAAGATGTGTTTGTAATGTAAAACGGTTTGTAATATTGTGATGACTGCATTATGTATATTGTTAATATTACTTATCATTCCTTTCATATGTTTCAGGGTATAGATACTAGATAGATACTATATGACAAATCCATTGGCTGAACAAACGTCTCTCACCCGTAGCGTGTTTGGATATCCCCCATTCACTGCCCTGCTACATTCACATTTTAGTTGACAAGCCTGAACTAAAAAGAATGTTGTACTATTCAAGGAAGCGAACGTACAATATCGGCGGAACTCAAAGGATATGACGTCACAAGCCTTCCAAGGTCGTCAAGGTCAACATAATGGCCGGCAAAGTGTTTAGGTCGCTCTTTCGTTCAACATCATCCACTGTAAGTCGTTTTTATCATTTTGTTTTTAACAAACAACACATAGCACCAGAAAGCATTATATTAACGAGTCTAATATCGTGTTTACTACTTTTGAATATCTCCGTCGTCACCAGGCTATGTCGATGATCTTGAAGTTGTCTTGTTGCAGACGACGCAATGTCAACAAGCACATGTATTGCACGTGGAGATAGGATGCTTAAATGTATGGTTTGGGAAAAGCAGAAAAACAATACATGATTCAACCCATTGTTTCACTTTCCTTCAACAAAAAAACAATCACTTTACCTTTCCAGTCAGAAATCACAAGTGACTCAAATCAACAGGTCGAATTCTAGGCCTAAGCTACAAGTCTATTCCACAATATTCGGATAAGCTACTCTGATGATGTATCGTCTAATTCTAGTCTTCTGCATTTCCATACTCAAATATTTCAGTGTGAAGAAGTCAAACATGGGGACAATCATTCATTTCCACGCTGATTATGAAAGTCCTAGGGCCTACTGAAGACAAGATTAATTTCCTTGTTAACTTCCTTTCTAAAATTTCACTCTTCAAATCTGTGAATATGTATGTCGCATGATATAACATGATCTTGACGAGGTAATATTGTCAACTAATGTTAGCTTTATCAAACATTGGAAACTATTCAAATATTGCCTTTAACATGTTCGCTGCCTGGTGTGTGAAATTAAAGGGGCACTGATCTAACGCAATTCCCCGGGACTGGTTGTTGCCTTTGTTATTGTTTTTTCCCAGTGAGTACCCGGATGTATAGCAGAAATCTAGACTAGTTCGTGACCTCTGCTGCGCCATTCGTAAGCGCATTAGTCACTTGTATGGGTAGTAATATAGAGGGCGTATGGTCACATTGATCAACAAAATGAAATACAGTTTTGGAGATAATAAGGAAATGTAGGTATCTTTGTGGTTAGCATCGGTAATGGTGATGAACTTTTGATAAGTCACTTGCTTGGTAATTTTGCGATTTTCGTTTACACTATTTTGACTTGCAACACAAAGTAAATATTTCACCTGAGCATTGCTTTTTGATAGTGTGTATATTTTTTACTGTCAAAATGTGTAACATTTTCAAATTTATTCAACTCCTAAATATTCAGTTATTTAACAAAGTGACTGAAAAACATTTCCATCGGTATTATTATGATAACGAATTCCAAACATTTTGATGTTTAATGTCATCACCAAGAGACTGAAAATGTTATGTTGAAAAGTACATTTCTATGTTGTTTGGCTTCTAATCCTACATAATAATCTGTTGTGATGTTTGTAGGCCCTTTTGATCGCCTTAATCAATCTGGACAGATTTTTTAGTCAAAATGACTGAAATATTTACACATTTTATAAATTGCCTGAGAGAATTACATTTTACAAATTGACGGTAATATATACACGCTTACAAGGGAAAAGGCCTGTGAAAACAACGTCTATCGCGCATTGAAGAATTTCCCAACCAAGACGTAGAGAAACAAGGACGAATCAGTTCAATGCTACAGCAAATGAAGGAAAACAAAATGCAAATATCATAATTACAACCTACCAAATTTATGTGTATAAATTTTAGGCAGCTTCCTTGTTCTAGGAATGTATCCGTGAATATCCACACAAAGGAACAATATCCCACTCGTCTGCAGCTGTACAAAGAAACCTATTCGATGTCACGTGTCTCTGTAACAATCACATATTTTAAAAGATGTATATCGTTTCGGGATATTATAACCCGTGTTCGTTTCTCAACTGATCACTTGGATTGTTTCAGGTGTTTCACATAGGTGGCAAGTCTCAAGGGTCAGCTGAGAAAGCCCACGTGACAACTATTTTCATAACGTCCCCACGGTTCCTAAAAAATCCATTGAGTGATAGATAACAATGATCAATCAATCAACGTATTATCAGTTAACCCTTTGAACAAAGTATGTTGTTTTTACATCAGCACTTCACGCAAGGATATGTTTGTATTCCCTTTGTTTTAGTAAACCTAGACATGTAAACTCTCACTTTTGACATATCCACTGTGCAAGATAACAGTGATTAATCAATCAACATATTTTCTGTTAATCCTTTGATGACTAGGAACGATCCGTTGTTTTACAAAAAAAAGTAAATCAACTGATCATTCACCTCTTGCTGGTCTGCCACATGCATATTACATAACACACATTTCACCTCACTTCAAACCTGGATTTAGATTGAATAATTACCCCAGACACAATAAATGCCAAATGGGAACCTTTATCAGGTAATCTAAGTGGTGCTACCACTAATTGTACCTGTAATAAATTCATTAACTGAGAATCAAGTGAATGACGACAAATACACAAGTGTAGGGTTATGCGAGAAAACGTGGATGACAACAAGGGAGTAGTAATCGTATTATCGACGCAATCCGAAAACTGAAAATGCTTTCACTGCATGGATACTTTTTTTAGTGTTAACTATAACCATCTGGGGTATTTCCAAATGACGACATCCGATGAGCTCCGCCGTTCTTTTTGTCTGTTAGTTTAGGCTGAAGAAATTAATTAACATGCGCCCTTTGTCGAAATCTTTATAGATCACGGTTAACCAATCAGTGTTTATGCAAAAATGCGTAAAACAAATACCAAGTTTATTTAGCTGTCCTTGCAGATGGTAGCCCAGTCTCTGGTCATGCTCAGTTGCGTTGCGTATCATCCGGGTACTCACGGGGAAAAAACAATAACAAAAGCAACAACCAGTCCGGGGAATTGGGTTAGATCAGTGCCCCTTTAAGTGTGAACATCAAGTAGTCCTTGAAGTAAAAGAATTCAGGGGTTCCCAGATTCATATAATTATAATGTCAGACCTCAAGTACTGCAAGACACACTCACGACCTGAACTTGTAGTTTGGCATTATTTTCAGTAGATATTAATCTTAGCATATGGAACAGATTATTTTCAGTAGATATTAATCTTAGCATATGGAACAGCTGATCTTACTCGGCCATAAGAAATGTTAGTAGACAGTAGCTTCAGACCATACATACATAAATAGGATAAGATAAAACCATGAACAGTATTACATAGACAGTGTATCTTGCAGATACTTCTCTCTGATATACGGACACGGCTGTCAGTGTCTCAGTCGCCTTAGGCACCAGATGAATAAACTCACATTTTGTATGTCAGTAGTACAGACTGAAATTGGTTACCCTATGGCATATAGTTATAAGGTAACAAAATATTTATTTTTTTAAAATACCATTAACTTTTAACACTACAAGAAATAATCACTTGTCCTTGATCATTCAGGGACAGGAAAATATGTTTGATGAAGTATTCAGTCCACTAGTCCTTATAATGATAAAATATTGAAAAACCCTTAAAATTGGCAAATTTCTAATTGTCCTTATGATACCTTAACTATGGGGCAGTTTGGCAAGGACTACAGGACTTGTGCCAATTTTTAATGCTGATTTTAGGATTTAGGTTCAGTGAAATACTGAAACCTTGTTTACTTGCACACTGTTATCTCGATGAAAATGCATCATATCGGAACACAGTGTTATTACTAGGGCAGTTACGATTCACTCGCATATTCGGTGAATCGAACCGTATCCATTCATTAATTGAATTCGTTATTCGTGGCCACTAGAATCGAATATTTATGAATATGCAATCATGTGCATTTACATACCCTGTACCTAAAACATCCATAAGAACATATGATATGCATAGGTTTCTTTAAAGACAACACTCTTATAATATTTAATTTGACAGGAATTTGGTCACTGGTCATTGTAGCATTTGAGCAGATACTAAGACTAAGTACCTGGACAAGTGCAGTATATAAATGTATAATATAGATAATTAACAAACCATGTCAAATAATTTATGTTGTTAATGTTTCACTGAATATAACAAATAATACATCAACTACTGACTTATTATTGTATTCGTGAATTAATATTTGTATTCATTACCCTATATTCGTTGCAGCCCTAGTTATTACCATGGTTAAAGCCTTATTTGATAGTCACAAGCACTTTGAGTAAATAAGGTTTCATATTTTTAATAAAAAGGTTTAATCTGAGTTTTGATTTTCACCATTCCCATTCCGTATTGACTGTCATCCGCCACGCCATGTATTTCTGAATGTAGAATGTGTAGGAAGATGTAACAATTAGGGTTGGCATTTGGTTCCGAAAACTATGATTGGTGACTGTATCATATCAACCAATCAGTCATAGAAATTAATTGTTTAGCACCGTTATGTTCTGTAGGACTAGATCACATCTAACAAAAACAACATTACTTCTGCACTTTATTTTCATAAAAGACATTGGTATAAGGCTTTTTTTAAACTTTTTTTTAAACTTTTTTTTCTCTCCAAGTACGAAATATTACCTTCTCAGAAACAAACTTGGTTGAGATAAGGAAAAAAATTGTTTTAGATTATACAAAAATTGTGTTCAGTTGTTTGGTTTCAGATAAAGACTGTATTGGTGTATGTACAGATGAAAATATCCACGATATGGTGGGGGTTAATTAAGAAAACATATCCAGTACGCATCACAGCATACATGTACAGTCTAACATTCATTTGTAGACGTATTTCCCAAAAATTGTATTGTGATTTCAAGCAGCGTATTGTCTTGAGTAGTGCACTCCTTTTTCCCCCAAAAATAACAGCTGTGTAAATAATGAGTTTTTGATGTTTTTTCCCCCAACGCAGAGACATTACACAGGAAATATCATGTCAACAAATCTATATTGAAGAATGCAAATTGAGTATGTAAATAATTACACTGTCTGCTTACAAAAAGTATTCATTGTATATCTGGATGTATGTTTGTAACCTATTTTATATAATTTTAAAAACAATTTCATTCAATATTGTTTACATTAATTTAGGCGAAATTGGGTATCAGTGATCAGTAGATCACACAACTCACAGTGATTTACAGCAACTATAGCCAGATAACCGTTATTGATGCCTTGAAACGAACTTTCGTTGACAGAATGGATACATATATCATAAATGCCATACTTCACCTCGTTAAGAGTCATACTTGTTGAGTTTGACTGTTATATGTCAACATAGAGTTTACATGTTGACAGGAGCTTCGTTGGTGAGTGGTCATATTGTTCCATACATAAAAAGTACCTGGCAATAGCTATCAGCTGTACCAAAGTTTGTGGCAAGCTTATGGTTATTATTATTTTACATATATATATATATATAGGAAAGCTGCAACTAAAATAACACAGTATTTGAATATATTATTCCTGATAAAATAATATTTTCAGGTACAATTCCTCCGATCACTGCATCAAAAAACTTTAAAGTTATATTATTGGGTAATTTTTAACCGAATCACCAATAGATTGTAAGAAAATGTGTGTACAGCTGATTGCTGATTGCTTAGTTTGCGAGAAAATACACACAGTAATCTTAATCTCTGCACATAAAACAATGCCTTGCCGAACTGGAAATACAATTTAAATGGTAAATCATCATGTCTAGTGATCTTTTATCTAAACTTTCAAATTTGTATTCACCAAGTTGTTATCACCTGTTCTTTTGCCTGAATATGCTGAAGGGATACGATGTAAGAAATTTCTGCTCCTGATTTTGCACTTCATCCTGAAAAATTATCTGGAGCTGGTGGGTTTGTTTGGACCAACCAGTCAGTCTTTGTTGTTATCACCCACCCAAATGAAGTTGAATTTTTATCACATTTTAGATTTTGACATCTCTGAGGCAATAACACTTCAAATATGTGTTTCATTTACAGAGCTAAACTCATAAACCATTCAATATTTCTCAATGTAACTTCACATGATATATCATTCAACCCAGTTGAGATTTGGGGTTCCAATAGGTCCCCAGCAATCTATGCTTGTTTTGAGAGGTGACTGAATTGACCAGATGGCCTGGCTTGGTGACTTGGTTGCTTCGTGACATTGTGATACCATTTCAGAGTAGGACATTGCTCATAAATTTATTTAGTATTTTGCTGTGGAATTGTACTTTAGAGTTTTCAAAATATTGCATGTAACATTGTTATCAACATGATCAAATGAAAAGTTCTGGCTATTGAAAATTACCATTACTATTGGGTAATTCACATCATTGGAAGGTATAGAAAGCATTGAATGAATTGAGGGAAACATTTGGTTTAGTAATCAAACATAATGTCAGTTGTACTCAACTAGCTTCAGGATTAACCTTTTTTGGTATTATGAAGTATATTGCATGCTTTTTATTGTAATATACACACTTTTAAAAGGGTGGTATAAATAATATATCGACACGATCACACCACTAGTAACAATACATTTTTCTTTGCAGAACATATTTCAAAACTCCCCTGGGCTAAAATATTTTTCCAGCCAGGTATGTATGAATTTCTATCTATCATCATGATTAGTATATACGGATCTCATATGTTCACATCAGAGGTCAGAGAAACCTTTTGTTGTAGATTTGACTGCCCTTATCTTAATGCTATCCTTGCAATTTTAAACCTTTACAACAATTTTATCTGCTAAAGCAATTTGTATGGTTCAATTGAGACAAATGGACCTACATTGGAAATAGGGAGCAGAGTAGGTAACAAGACCATAGCAGATGTCTGTGATTTATCAATGAAAATAGAACTTTGAACATAATCATGGACACTAATGCTTATCACTTTGATGAAAGAAAGCAGAAACTGGTTGACCTGAAAGTTCAAACACAAGTTTCAAGATTGGACGATTACATAACTATGTGTCTGAATATGAGTATTTCGCTTATCATCCAAACCTGGCTTCCACGCTTGGGGTGAGATCAAGCGATATCTCCAAGGAGACAGCACTGCATAATTTGCATCACAACCTCATGCAGACCATAGGTTACCATGACATCACAATGAAATGACACCACTAGTCTCTGCCATTGAAGCTCGCTAGCTGTACTTTTTACATTCAGACACTGGTTGTTAATGTTTACATACTGAAAAAGTGGGAAGAATGTTTTTGGATGATTAATCGAAACCCGCCTTTTGAGTGTCATTTGATATACATTATACATGATATATCAACACTCATCAATAAAAGTTTAAGGACTCCACAGAAGGCCTCAGAGCATTTAACTTTTATGATATCGTGTTGATATGTTGAATATTAAAAGATACTCCCGTGAGACTTTCTCTGAATGTTGATGTGTCTTCCCTGGTTTTAACCACAATTCAATTTGTTACAAGGTTCAAACTGTCACACTCATCCCAGGAGATGGCATCGGACCAGAAATTTCTGATTCTGTCAAGCAAATCTTTGCTGCATCAGGGGTAAGTCCTTGCACTGACACAGTCAGTTATGTCACTTCTAAATCCAATACCAACTGTATCGTATCTGCCGGTAAATACTTGAATCTGGACCAGGCATTATCAATTTATGAACCACATGCATGTTACATATTACTGACATTTCTAGGTCCATTATATCTCTATAGTGAGGTCATGATGCAGAAAGAATGACACTATCTGTTTATAAAAGGAGAATTTCAGAAACTTTTATTTAAACAAAATGGTTTTGTGCCATACTGCATGTTTTTGGATGTTGTGATGCCCTGAAATTTTCTGTTCACAGCCTGAAAACGGGTAACATGGTAATAGCTTTGTAATATATCCATTAATACATCCACCTGGGCAGGGTTTTACTTTGACTTACAAAAGTGGGGGTCCCCTGGACCCCCAATAATTAATTTTAAGTATATGAGGGTCCTGCAAAGTAATGAAACAGTGTAGTGTACTGTACGTTTTGATAAATACTTGAGAGCCTGGAATGAATCAATGATCATGTGCACAGTGGTCATGATTGATGGATGAAATGACAGACACCCTTAACTGCTATTGATGGGCTGTAGGTACAGTGATTGAATATTATTGTGCGTAGTATATTCTTTTTCTGTATCCAATCTCAACATTTGTGCATACTGGATGCACATTTGTGCATCATGTTAAATCTTGCATGTAGGCTAGTCATGATTTGATCTATCCCTACATGGACTGCATGAGGCCTATTTGCAGTGTATAAAATGTGTTCAAATTTAAAGGAATTGTCTCCCTTGTTACATATACGTAATTGTGTAATTTTAGACAGATTTGACAAGGAACTGATTTCGTCTCTTCGAATTTGTTGGTCTTTTTGAGATTAATCATTTGTTAATTACACTGATGGTTTTTCATGGAAACAATTTATAAACATTTATAATATGCATGCTGCATTAAAGGTACACTTCTATTCTGTTAGGAAAAACAAGCAAATCAATGGTTGATTTACTTCACTCTGACATTGATATCTTGCTGAAGTAAAATTCTTAGAAATCAGGTTAAGTACACCACATACGTCAGAGTTCTTGAAGCCCCAAACGTATTACTTAGTGTCCCGTTGACTCAAAAATAGATAGACTCAGGTCAATCCCTGATAACAGCAGTAATCAAGTCTTCTGAGTTGCTCAGTAATCTGTTAGTCATTTGGGTCTGGCTTGCATCCCTGCCATTGCAGTTTTCTTCACTTTGTTTTCATTCTTGTCAGGCCCCAGTGGATTGGGAGGAGGTTGATGTTACTCCAGTCAAGGGACCTGATGGCAAGTTCCACCTCCCCCAAAAGATCTTTGAGTCAATGGGCAAAACAAAGGTTGGACTGAAAGGACCACTTGCTACACCCATTGGAAAGGGACACCAGTCTCTTAACTTGGCACTTCGAAAGTAAGTCATCCAGTTTTGAAGAGGAACTCTGCCGCTCATGCATTTGAGAGTCAGGATTCATATAAGGACTGATAGATTTATAGATTATTTTAGAATGTCTCCCGGTACAGGCAGATATCTTATGTAATGTATCTAAATGAAGCAGATATTTTTCCATCTTTACATGCATCCACCCTGTACATGTTTCTTCTCAAAGTGGAACTATGGTCCTTTCTAATCATCATGATGGATAAATCCAGTTAACATAAATGTCAATATCACAATTTCTGGTTTGATCTTCTTTACGAATGTATTACTTCTTATCTCTGTAAGCCATAGAGGAAAATTCCTTCTTTTTCATCTTCCCGAGGCAAGGGAGTTAACTGACTTTAAAAGTCCAGTTTCCGCCCTTTCCGAACTAGGCTGAAATTATGGATTTTTATTTTGACTGGACTAATGAGTCTATGCATAGTCCAATCAAAATCGTGCAACGAAATCAACATCCACTTTGTAAAATGCTGTGCAGATTTTAGTCAAGTACTGGATTTGCAAAGCATGTGTCCCATCAACTTGGCTTCAAAAGATATTTTCCAAATCTCTTCATGTTCATTTAGTCAAGGTGCTCACGTGATTTGATGCACTTTGCAAAATAAGCACCATTTATTACAATATACCGTAGATCTTGATTATCAATCAGATTGTCTTGAATATTTGAAGCAAATGCAAGTGATATCAGAGGTGGAAGCTGATTGGTCAATGGGACTTAACTCACAATAGCCACTGGTGGCGCAACGATTGAATCCAGAAGTTCCAGCCTAATTCGGCAAGGGTGGAAACTGGACTTTTACAGTCAGTTAACTCCATTGCCATGGGAAGATGTTCTTTTCTTGATGACAGTGTCTGTGTTCATCAAACCCGTGAAGATTCCGGGGTAGTTAGGTCTTCAGCAACCCATGCTTGTCGTAAAAGGTGACTTACTTGTAGTAAAAGGAGACTAACGGGATCGGGTGGTCAGGCTCGCTGACTTGGTTGATGCATGTCATCGATCCCAACTGCATGGATCGATGCTCATGATATTAATCACTGGATTGTCTGGTCCAGACTCGATTATTTACAGACCGCCGTCATATAGCTGGAATATTGCTGAGTGTGGCGTTAAGGATCATTTGATTCTAGTGATGCTAGCAAATACAGAAATTATCTTCTCTGTTTCAGAGCATTCACCCTGTATGCTAATGTGAGACCATGTCGCTCTATTGAGGGGTTCAAGACACCGTATGAAGATGTTGACATAGTGACGATCAGAGAAAACACTGAGGGAGAGTACAGTGGCATTGAACATGTTGTAAGTATAGTAGGTTTCATGACTTCTGTTCACTGACACCCATTTAACACAGATTTGTCTGGGGGTAAATGGGTTGTCAGTTTCTGTCTATTGAATAAAATATGTTACTAGTAGCAGCAGTCGTTGTTGTAGATGTGTGGGATGACTTAAGAACTTGGATTTGGACGATACACAAAGTTACAATCCGATACATGTCTCTGTAGTGAGGACATGATAAGCATCACCATACAGAAAGAATGACAGTCTGTTTATGAAAGGTGAATTTCAGAACGTTTCAGGTAAACAAAATATTTTGGTTCCATACTACATATTTGGGGGTGGAAACTTATGAAACAATTGTTACATGATAACAAACAGGTAAACAATGAAAATGATGCATTGAAAGTTTCTTTGCACCACCAGAAAACAGGTAACATAACTTTGCAATACACTGCAGCGATACATCCACCAAGGATAGTCATGGATTGTCCCATCCCTACTTGAACCACAGAAGGCCTGTTTGCAATATATAAAATGTGTTCAAATTCAAAGAGTTGTCTCCCTTATTACATCTTATTGTGTACTTTCAGGAGGAATTTTACAAGGAATTGATGTCGTCTTTTTAAGTTTGTTGACGTTTTTTAAATAAAGCATTTGTTAATTACACTGATGTTTTTTCCTTGTATCAGATTGTTGATGGAGTTGTACAGAGCATCAAACTCATCACAGAACAAGCATCCATGCGGGTAGCCGAGTATGCCTTCAAGTTTGCCCGGGACAACGACCGCAGTACAGTCACAGCAGTGCACAAGGCCAACATCATGTGAGTTGGGAAAGCTGGGCCTATGTGAGAATTAGATATGACAGTGACTGTTTGGTGCATGTGAATGTAGGCAGTATGTCATTATAACAGTGATAACATGATACACATAGCAGTGGATTTCAAGGGAATGAACCTACAGGGACATTTCTAGGTGTTCGCAGAATCTACAGTTGTAAACATCAATAACATTTAATACCATCATTAAAATTTACAAGTTCAGGTGGTTATATTTATTGTGTTAGCTTTTGAGGGTGACGTACCCTAAGGATGACAAGGACAATTATGATGCAAAAGACTTTGATACTTAGTTTTACATTGAATGCAATGTTAAGTACATAATGAATTAAAGAAACTAATGCTCTTTTCCATGTTTAGAAATATTTTGTTTTCACTAGTTTGCAAAACTGGCCTTTACAGAGTTGAACCTTCCTGAATTTAGCTAGTGGATTTATGCTAATTTTGAAGTCTGCACTTTTCCCAACTTGCCTGCTCAAGTTTGGAATCCTAGATAATACCTTGACAATCCGTTTTTCTGCCTTTTATGGAACATCTATATGATTATGTATCTGATTGTGAAATGTTATCTCTATCACAATACACCTGTCAGTAAGAAGAATTTGATTTTACCTATCACTTCAAGTCACTTGCTGGAGAATGTTTTGGTATATATTCTTTTAATATGACATTGACAGGTTATATAAATAAGGTATCATAAGGACATGTGCTCGTTTCTGGAGGGCTAATGCCTTGCTCACAACTGAACATGTCATATTAGCCGGGGATATGAGTATTTCATGCTTGTTTTAATGAATTTTGGGTATTTAATTGAATGTTATGAGCTAATATTTAAAGATTGTTTGAATTAGAAAAGTAATACGATTTGATTTTCAAAGGTCAAACTATAGGACTAGCTGAATTAAGAATCTAGATTAATACTTCTTAGAAGTACTAGTTGCACACCTTATTTTCTTCTTTCTTTTCAGGAGAATGTCAGATGGTTTGTTTTTGAAATGCTGTCGGGAGGTAGCAGAAAAAAATAGAGATATCAAATTTTCTGAAATGTACTTGGATACAGTTTGTCTTAATGTAAGTGTTGCTTTTTACAGTGTTTTAAGTCAAATGTATATTTAACTACAAATATACATACATTTTTTTAATTTATCCTGCATTGATAGCAATACCCTTACACAGCTGCCACATGACCCAGAAGTGGTGACGTCACATAAGAGCACATTACTGCTTTGTCATCCAACACAGTCAGACGTGTTTATAAGAATAAAGCTTCTGCAGTTTTCCATCATCCTTTGCTTCTTATTTACACATTGTTTTCTCTTGCTATTGTGTTATTGTTTATGGGTTTTTTTCCTTTTTCATCTTATCCTTACGTAATTTGTATTAAATTCCCACTCATTGTGGCTCTCAGTCACCATAATTTTGGGCGTATTGTCCTTCTAATCTGCCATGCGTAACTCCATGTGCCCATCCATGGCCCAGTGGCTTTTTACACGGATCACCAAGCCAATGGCTAACTACTTCCACCTGAGGCAGATCAGCTTCAAGTTTTACATAGACGATTGTCTCCTGAACCATCAGAGACGATAATCCACCACAGGGATTTAACCCATCTCCTCTTCCATCACCTTGGATGGATTGTCAACAAGACCAAGTCGAAGCTCAATCCGTCTTCATCTTCAATTTATCGGAGGCCTGTTTCTGACCAACAAGGACCTCTTACAAGTACCCAGGGACAGGTGGTTAAAGATCCTCCACCACTCTCTGCCTGCTCTTCAGCTAGCCCGGACACTCCGCCAGTTGCGAGTGCTGTTGGGCTTACTCATTTTGGCACAGGACCCGACTTCCAGGGGAGATCTCGAGCTATGACCGATCCAGCAGTTCCTCACCCCCTTCATCAGGCGCCAGATTCCATCAGTCTCCATTGTCCTCCCGGTTCACCTGCAACCTTATCTTCGTTGGATGGTGGCGTTAAACTTTTTTCGGATCACATCTGAAGGCATGCTCACCTCCGTACCGTCTGATAAAGATGCATTAAGGAGTAATGCAGGATAAGTTAAAAAAATAGTAAAATCTAAATATTTTTTACGTTTTAATACTTATCCTACATTATTTCATCCAAGTGCCCTCCCGTCACAGTACTGCTTCTCCACAAAGTCTTCAGATGTTACATTCTAAGCAATGATGTGCTCTTATGTGACATCACCACTTCCATGGTCACGTGGCTGCTGTGTGAGGGTATTGCTACTCATCTGGTTGGAACAACTTCTTCTGCAACTTGACCCCTCACAACTTCGTCTTTCTGTTAAAAATCAGCAGTAATTGCATAAGGAGTAATGCAGGATAAGAATACATATGTAAAGAATAGTTAGATTTTACAAAGATTTGTGCAATCTCCTTAAAATCAGATCTTAGTTCTCGCTACCGGTGAACAAAGATCTGAGAACACCCCATTACGGGTCACGTCAGACCGACCTTGCGCGAACTTTGACTGACCAATGGAATGACTGACAACATTAGCCAATCAGAAGGCAGCTTTCTCGTCCTTTATGGCACTAATTTCAAATCGGCAACTACATATTTTGACAAATTCTCGATTAAAAATTTGAAACCTGAACAAAAGAACATTGTGGAATGGCTAATAGATGGCCTAGATTGTATGGATTCAATCATTAAGCCCTAACTATCATTCGGAATACCCCATGTTAAAGTTTTCAAGGTTGCATGATTAGAAATCACATTCCGACTGTCACTTTCATGATCTGGTAAGCAACATTCTGATTAGTCGGATGAAAGGTCGTTCTGACGTGACCCTCTAATGGGATGTCCTCAGATCTTTGTTTAGCAGTAGCGAGAACTAAGATCTGATTTTGATGAAATTGAGATTTGTGTAGCAATAGATTCTTGTATATAAATTCATCAGCTCTCTCCCTCCTTGTTATGTATCAATGTTATTGCTAGAACTGAATCAAACACATGATGCTGATGCAGAACATTTTATATTTTCTTATATTTAACAATCTTCATGAAATTCTATTTCAATAATCTGACATTTTATTTGGTGTTATCATTGATGGCGTATGGCAATGTTCCTGAGTAGCTTACAATTTTGAGAATCCAATTTTTTCACGAACACTGATTATCTTTTTTTTCAGCAAACAATTCAATCATGCATCATTCTTCGTTACAGATGGTCCAAGATCCCACACAGTTTGATGTCCTAGTTATGCCAAATTTGTATGGTGACATTTTGAGGTATGGATAAAATTACATTTCACAACTAAGCAATGCAATAGACAGTGAACATTCTAATAAAAGACTTAGAAGTAAGAATTAGATTATGGGTGTTCTATAGAGGTGCACCCTATTACTGGTATACCAATATACCGCGTTTTGAAATACTAATTAATACATTTTCAAAATACAGGTATTTTGTGTTTTTTAAATGATGCATATTTCTGATAATTTTCATCTTGTTGGCAACATTTACATAAGTGCTATGTCTCCCACCAGAGGGTTGATCTAAAATATAAACATGTTGTCATATTTATCTTTTAAAAGAAAAGATCAGAAATGAACATTTTTTTTATCTCTTGCATTTTTTTGTTGGCCAACTGTTGACTCTTGTGTTAAGTCTGATTCTGTCATGGAACTTTCAGTACAGAATTAAAGAAAAACTTCAAGTCATTTGGGGTATTTTTGTTCAGGTTCATAACAAATTACAGATGAAAGAATGCATGGAATATACCGTGGTACATATCGCAATACATTAATAATTATTGCAATAGGAAAATCAGGCCAATACATCACTGGTATTCTATTAGTACGCACTACTAGCACGACCCGTGACAATAAAGTGCCAGGCATGTAGAAAAATATACTTTAGTTACCCTCGGGCAAGTATGAAAATTGGCGGTATTAACTTTGAAACTTGGAAGATGCATCGTGTGTCTGCAGATGAAGTACCTGACAAGTCATTTTTCAATTCTGCACATCTTTCATTAGCTGTTGCTACAATTATAAAGTTTTCTTGTAAAGATTAATGGGTTTTTTTCTACTTTTATCTTTTTAACAGGGAAAATTTAAAATCAGGCTGAACAAGTAGAATTTTGAAGTTTACGTGACCTTGGGCAAGTAGGACATTTTGATATTTGAACAACCCTGGATATGTCTGTTTATTGTTTATTTGTTATTTAATGTATTATTAAAGAGAACTCTTTTATTTTTCTAGTGATTTGTGTGCAGGGCTAATTGGCGGCCTCGGAGTTACACCCAGTGGAAATATAGGAGGAGAGGGAGCTATTTTTGAATCTGTGAGTTTGTTATATTATCAATGTTGTCAGTTTTCAAAGTCCAAAATGAAAGTGACAGGATCCTTGCAATAATCATTATCTTATGGATTAAGAAGCTCCTCAGATGTAAGTACAATAGCCAAAACACTCGAGAACCCTTAATTACTAGTTTAGTTATTGGGAACAGAATGTGGAAAATTAAAGATGTTGAGGGGGATAAAATGATTCTGTATAGGATATAGAAAATCACAAATCTGTAAGGTTTCATACTTTCATTTGAATTGCAAGCAGACACATTTGTGGTGCAAAGTATACTGAAAGAGTTTTTGTTACTACATGAAAGATACAAAGAAAGTTTGCTCCAAATTTATTATTTTTCTGTTCTTAATCATGATCAAGCAGATCATTGATTGCTTTTCCAAAGCAATTATCAATCTTGAAAATTTTTACCAATTCCCATCACTGTCACAACAAAAAATATGGATTAAGAATACATTTATTCAGGTAAGAATTATACTGATAATGACTTAAAAACTTACATACTCACACCCATTCAACTAGCCTCCACTAACTCTCACCCTTCACACTCTTCACACTCTTCACACTCACCCTGTTCCTCTAACAGACACTTTCCAAATACTTAAGGTTACTCAACCTTACTAACAAATACACTAATATTGTACCAATACTTTATCTCCTAAATCCCTACAAATACATAACAACATCAATATCTTCAGTCAACATGCATGTCAACAATCTATACTACCATCCAGTCACGTGATTCAGGGGTCCCATGAGATTGTAACTGCGCATGAGTAGACCAGTGTGACCTCATGGCGTAGACGGGGCAACACTGTTAAATTATTCTGTTCAGGATACATTTCGTTCTCCGAGTTGAAATTTTCTGAGGATAATTGGTTGCCAATTACTTAGCTTTTGCCGATCCCGTGGTGATCGCATTTATAGAAGTTTTACCATTTGACAACCTGCGGATTTGTCAGAATTTCCACTTGAATATTGAGCTACCTTGTGGTTGACTGTGTCGGCAGCCATTATGGGGAATTTTCTCCTGCCTCCTTCCACATCATCGCTATGTACACTATACATCGTTTATAGTCACATGAGCCTCACACAGGTCTCATCCAATTCAGATGTAATCATGTTCATATGCTTGGCCGTCTGTTGCCCTGGGGTCAGGCTTCATAAAATAAATGACCCAGCCTCCACATATTTCATACAGTGCCCCTCTATGTCCCCTGACACTATATGACAAATGTTTACCCTTCAGTTTATATATTAGTAACCATTCACCTTACATCGAGTATTATATACTCAGAATGGTACACTCATAGTTATTCAACATACAGGTGAGATTTGGAGCATGCTCAGATTAACTATACACAGTTATTCAACATACATCAAGCATGTACTATACTCGAATAACTAAAAAAGAACAGAGTTATTCAACATACATTGAGCAACTACTACTCAGAATAACCAATTCCAATATCAAAAGTAAATGTATATAATGATATGATGGTGGTTGTTTTAAATACAACAATGACTGCCAAAACACGGCCAAATCAAGACTTTGTGTGAGATCTTTAAGATTGTAATAACTTCATTCACAATGAATATACACTACAAAACATATGTTTCTATATCCGTATACTATTCTATTATTACATTTATATGTACATGTAACTATACATACATGGTCTAATGTACAAGAATATAAGCATAAACAATATTATGTTTAATCACACAGCTCATACAACAAAAGATGTTCACTCCTTGCATAACATCTTTTAAGCTCACAGCTAACATACAGTCCAAACACACTCTAATACATACAGTCAAACCAACTTAAAAGAAGTATATACAATGTGATCTTGACAATCACCAAAGGCTACCATGTTTTTCCTGGTGGCAGGTTCACGGCACAGCTCCAGACATTGCAGGCGAGGACAAGGCCAACCCCACAGCCCTGCTGCTCAGTGCAGTGATGATGTTGCGACACATGGGACTTGGAGAACATGCTCGTAGAATAGAGAAGGCTGCCCTTGAGGCCATCAGTGAAGGAAAGGTATGTCTAATGTGTCGGCTTTATACAGGTTCAAGGTTTAGCCACATACTCTGGTGATTACATTAATTGTTATTTTAAGAATGTGAAAAAGAACATCAAAGTATTCTGTTCTCTTTTTAGATAGAATGTCCTAGGCTTGACATATGAGCTGGCTGCTCATTCTATCAACTGCTGATCTAGTTCAGACAGGAAACTAGGCTGCTGCATTATAGCTTTAGTATTTGCTGACAGCTGTATTAAACAACTTTCACTGATTGAATCGTCAAGAGGATTTTTAATTCTTTAGTGAGAAAGATAGATAAATCTGTGTTTGTTACATGTACCGGTACATATTTGTACTGAGATTTTTTTCTACAATTGCATCGTCCTAAAGGGAACTTTATCCGTTGATATTATCAATGTACCATATTCGACATAATAAGCACCCACAGCTAAGCATATTTGCTAATATCCATCATATATAAACATTTCAGGCTGTCAGCATAAACCATGAAATTTACGATCTTTCGTCTGGTTTTTTTTTCACCAAAATAATATTCTAATAGGAGCCCCCTATTTCTAACTTGGAGAGTGCCCTGGGCGCTTATTACGTCAAATACGGTATATTGTGTGATACCAGTAACCTCATTCATTCGGAAATATTGGGCAGAAGCATTGATTCTGGCTGGTGGACACAAAAATATCTGGCACAGGTTGATGTCACATATGATATGTGTCTGTACAAAGGTGTACATGGCCTTTAATACTGAATAACATCCTTGTTGTGTGTTCCAGGTGCTGACAGGAGATTTAGGCGGCAATGCCAAGTGCTCCGACTTCACAAAAGAAATCTGTCGCAAGGTGGAGAGCTCATCATAAGACCAGGCTGCGGAAGATGATGTACAGCACAAATTGTAGACTCAATTTTTCCCTTGTTTCATTTTTCTTTGTTATTTATTCAATTCCTTTTTTTATACAAAAATGGAAGGAACAGATGTGTATGGTTCTGATCTTGTAATGTCTCAAATAAATGTGCCAGTTTCCAATGTGGCTTTTGCTGATGGTGTAATCGGTCTATTTGGAATTAAAATCCTTTATTGATGTCCAGAGTCAGTGTATGTTGGAGATGATAATGATCATTCAAAATTTATCTTTTTATTTCACTTTGTTTCATGAAAATGATATGTTTGTGTATTAAGGGAATCTCTTTGCAGTAGGCACCTTGTTATTGTCAGAATTGTGAATGAATATGCATTTAAATAAAAATCATTGTATTATACTTGTGAAGGTTTATTTCAAATGGTATTTCCTTTTTGTGCCTCAACCAGACACGGTGTAACAGGCTGATGTTTGTTGAGAAGAAGCTGGTTGAGTTTATAAGAACACAATGTGTAAAGAAATAGCCAACATGTATTGATAATGCATGCAGATATCAAGGATGATTTCCTTGCTGCAGATAGATATGTGAGACAAACACAGAAACTAAAGTCAGTATTTTGTTATTTTGTGAATGTTTGCACTGCACGTTGAAACCATCGGAGCTTTCTGTAATGTTCTGCTGATACGTCTGTTGCTGCAAGAGACTGGAACTTGTGTTGTTGATATGCTGCATTTGTATTCCCAGTATCCTGTTGGTCATATCTCCATGGTGAAGCAAGATTCTGTTATATCATTCTTATGTAGTAACTGTAAACTCAGCTTCAAATACTGGTCATTAGAGACCTGTGTTTCTTTGAGAGTGAGGTTGCGCAAAGATGCATGAACTTCTGAACCGCATATTTTCTAGTTTTCCTCCAGCACATCTGAGAATGGTGTCCAGATGAATACATATCAACTTGACTTTCTGATTTTTCAACAGTCTCTGGTGTAGTGAGTGTGCCATGATAGAATAGAGAACCATGAGATTATGGAGACAACTGTGAGACCGCAATACAGTGTATTGTTTCCAGTTCTGTGTTTGACCTTTACGTCAGTGTGTATAGTTGTTACATATCTTTAATTGATCAAACATAGATGTATATTAGCATAATATTGTTGACAATAAAGTACATTGTCATGAGCTTTGTAGTGCCTTGTCTGTGAAGACGTAGTTGCCATAGGTTGTGTTGGAGTGATGCAATATAGTAGTGCAGGCAATGCATGATTGAGCTTAATGTGTTTATACATATATATATATATGTTGTGATATCATATCAGTCACAAAGCCAAGTAAAGAAAGCTGGGAACCAGCCTACCTGAGGGTTACTAAAGCAACTAAAGTACTAAATTTAAAATAAAAAAGAAATATTTAAAAGAAGCATTTATTAATGCCCTTGAAAATAGCATCACCACTCTTTCACATTATTTCAGGAATTTCCCCGATTGCAATCGATGGACTTTATGATAAACGTGCTATCCACAATTATCTCCCTTTATCTGTCCAATGCTTTCTAATCAGTTTCATTGGCACACTGTGGAGGTTCAACAGCTGGCCTTTGATGTTGATATCATCAAAAGACACATTAACAACCACTCAGAACAGAATCACTCAGAACACAGGTTTTTATATTGTAGTACATTGATTGGGTGAACAAACCGACTTCATATGTAACATCCGTTAGCCATACTTTTTGTTTAAATTTACATAAATTGCGTGAATATTCTTGTCCAATGAATTAGCCCTGCTGCTTACTGAGGCGATGCTGTTAACCTCCGGGAGAATTTGGATTTGTTATTCACGCTGGTTTGCTGATTCGCGATGGTTCAATTGATTTTATTCTTTGCGAAACGGCAACATTCTACCAATCCATCGTCTCAATTATCGAAAGTGACATTCTATACAATAGATATTGTTCATGACATCAAAGGAACTTTTATGTGACGCCGGTAGAACTTAGAACAATAGTTTTAGTTGGCTTGCGCAGTTTCTCTTTGGGTGACCGACACAAACACATTTGCATTAAGGAAAATATATAGAATAAACTATCTGTAATATCTCTCGAATAACCGTCTAAAAACAGATTTCTGGCCTCCTGGGGAAAATCCATTGCCATCGGAACTCTCAACACACTTGGGACATATCCATGTAACCCGTAATACATTATAGCCAGTAAGTTTGAAACGAGCACCAAAATCAGTACTCAAGTACTCGCCACTTTGGAGTGAGCGATACCTTTACGGTGGTACGAGGAAGATTTTGCATCAGTAATCGCATCTACTAGTCGATAATATATTTTATGAAGTAACGCATTCGGGACAATAATGGACAGCGAAATCACCCTCTTCAGATCAACCTTCAAGCAGGTTGTTGGTCAGAGAAAGCAAATCACCCTTGTCTGCTAATTGTATTGAAGCCATTTCTTCTGTCGACTGTACTCTTTTTGCAACTCACTTTCGGTGTATAATTAAGATGCGTTTGCTAATTATAGTGATGTTTGAGGTTATATAAAACCTAAACCTCAATAAAAAAAATCAAATAATTTAGAAAAATGTTGCTTTTGTCAGTATACCCAATTATATAATGCAACTTGTTGAATTTCAAACATCACAATGTACCTTACAAAATGAGTTTACGTTAACAACTATAGCCGTGTGATCAAGGTGTATATCATATATAAACAAATAAGTCAAGTCTAGAATGATTTGGCAAGTCTAGATTGCCTCATCTCTAAATTAAGAATTGTTCGGGGCTCCTTTTCGCTTTTTTTTATTTTGTAGATAATACATTTTCAAAAAGATAACTGTATTTATGGGACTAAATGTTGTCTACAGTTTAGTACTTCAGTAGTTTTGATACTCAGGTACACGGGTAACCGTTAGACCCGTGAAGATCCGGGGTAGAATAAGTCTTCAGCAACCCATGCTTGCCGTAAAAGGTGACTGACTATGCTTGTCCTAAGAGGCGACTAACGGGATTGGGTTTTCAGGCTCGCTGACTTGGTTGATGCATGTCATCGATCCCAATTGCGTGGATCGATGCTCATGATATCAATCACTGGATTGTCTGGTCCAGACTCGATTATTTACTGACCGCCGTCATCTAGCCGGAATATTGCTGAGTGAGGCGTTAAACAACAAACCAAACCAAACCAAAATACACTGTCATATATTTGCCTGGAAATTATCCGTTTTGCAAAACCGACCCTTGCAAGTTAAGGTGATTTCCAAGGTCCTTTGTCTACAGATCGCCATTCTGAGGCAACATTCTGGTGAACTGTCGCATGTCTATAGCTACAACCCACGACCAACTTTTCAGACGGTGTAGGGGTTTAATCACGTCCACATTTCCACATGTGTAATCAGCAGAAGAACTTTCAAGAAGGACTAACATTATTCGAGGTATTATCAACCTAATAACATAAGGGGTTCCTTAACTGTTGTTGACACGTGCTTGTTTATATGATACAACTTGATACAGGTTAACCAGGGATTGATAGCATCAACATCCTCACCATCAATAGTGTGTAAATACACTACGTATAGGGTACATTGCAGGTGCATGGAGACCACACATATACATGTATGTGACAGTCCCTCGCTGACCTGATTACTCATTGCATATAATGTCTATTTATATATTAACGGATACATTGCGTATCCTATTTAGCTTTTTGTTTCTAATTATACTTATGAATGCGAACAATTTTGATATGTTAATGTTGACATGAAGAAAGGTTGGAATTTCGCATAATGATAAGTATTCATAATTATGACTCGGTCTGTTGAATCATACGATTGTCGACTGTAGTCTTGGAATAAATATGGTATATCCGATAACCTTCGTGACCAACTCGTCCCATTCCGGGACAAGCCGAATGTAGACTCTGGCCCCTCTCGAAGCATTCGTGACCAACTCGTGTTATTCCGGGACAAGCCGAACAGGTTATGGAGTCTTGTGCGAGCCGGTCGTAAAATCTAGTAGACGAGAAAGGATAATCTTAGAACAGTGGCTAACGATTAAGATTTTATAAAAATGAATCTATCTTCTACACTGACAGCAAAGGATGTGTGAGGAATGAAAGTATGACAGCAACGATCAGTACAAGTCGAACGGCTGACAGCGTCATCTGTAATGGCCAGGGGCAAGGTGACTGTCACGCCTTGCCACATTCCGGTGTAATTATATTTGACTTCGCATGTTTATTAATTACTACATAGTGTACATGCCATGGCCTTAGTCATATGCAGGTATATATAGAGATCTCAGGTACTGATATACATGTATGTACAAGTCTAAAGTTTTTTTCAAGGGGTTTCTATATGAATAGTATCATAATAAAACCCTACAGCTTGTGTTCATAGTGGCTAAGTTTAATTATCCAGTGATGGGGATGTATAACTCAACATCTTCAGATATTATGAGGAGTAACACGTTGTAAGCATCACGAGCTGCATTGCAAATGTTTAAAAAAACAAGCTGAATCGAATCTTTGTCGACACGTTGTAAAAATCATTACATATACTATTGACAACTTGATACAGAACGAGTATTACGTTTGCTGGTAACTGCGGCCAGTTGTTGCACTGACTAAGTGAAAAAAAAAAGTTTTTATCTCTTGTGCGAGTAATATTTATATCACTATACGTTATTTATGCATATCCACGCACGCCATATGCTCACAATCATAGTCAAGTGAGTCTTGTGTGGGCCTTCAAGAAAACGGCTTCGATTTTGTGACTAGTTTGTTTACAGATATAGTTGATGGAGAGATTTCTGTTTTGCCCTTGGCGAATGCCTCGACACGAAGAACAAATTTGCAGACGACAACATTGTCGTCTGGTACAAGAAAACAACTGGCGGTGAAGCCAGAGGGTCGCAATATGGCCCCACCATTGTTCTTTGATGAGATCGTGTGTTTATACTATGTCGTCTCCCCATTGCTGGAGTTTTTTTGTAATCACAGCCTTCCCCTCAACACCGATTTCCATGTGCTAGAGACAACGGTAAACCATGCGTTGTCTCGACAGACTTTAAATGTGTCCTTGAGGACAATTTGAGTAGTTGTTTTCAAAACGAATTAGAGACACAGGAATTACACACGCACACACACACAGAGAGAGAGAGAGAGAGAGAGAGACGAATGAGAAAAAGGTGGTTTTGCAACCAAAATTTACTCGTTAACTTAAAGCTTTAGGTGCACGGTGTTAGGTGATATTTCATTGAATGTACGTAGAGCGTGTGTGGAGTTAGGGTGTTTAGGCGATGTTATATATACTGTTTTTGTTCTGTTGTGTAAATCTTTCACGCAAATTTATTCGTGCTTATATTACATCACAGTAGGAACAGTATATGTTGCTATAACAGATATATGGCTTGTGCACCACAGATAACAGGGATCCTATACTTTTATTACACTTTATACTTCAATGTCCATATAGATTTCAATTTCCATGACACGCAGGTTTAGAAAAAAACTAACAAAATAATAAAGGGGAATAATCCAAAGGGATGACAAGAACATGGAACTAACTTCGAGACTACCAGACTTTCGACGAACATGCAGTTGAACAATGCAGGATATGTTCAGCAAGAGGCTGCAGGGTTACCTTGAAGCCACTTTTGTAATTACAACAAATTAAAATTTGTAAGCTATGTAAGAAAATACCAAAGTACACAACCAACGATATACAATGCAGTTAGTGAGAATTGGGGGAATAATTTGAGCGAAATGTGACCACTTCGAATTTTGATTTTTTAAATATATTTTCTCGTACCAGTCGAACTTGCTTTAACTATTCAGTCGATGGAATATCAATGTTAGTTCATTTGGCTCGTCATGATTTCCACAGGACACTTTTAATCAATGCATTCTGTAATACCGTACTAAAAACGGGATACCAATTCTGCCTTAGTTTGCCGCTAAAGAGTGGTGTGGGAGGGGCAGGGGACACCGGCAATGGACTTCACACATTGTAACCATGTGGGGAATCGAACCGAGCCTCCGTCGTAAAGATCGAACGTTTTAACATCTAGGCTACCCCACCGCCCGGGACCTTTACACACGAGATACGGTATATTCATAGGAAAGACACAGATTCCAGCTGATAAATAACTAATTTCTTGCCGATTACTGGGATAAG